ATTCACGGACAATTAACACCTATCTTTCCAGCTTGAAGAGTTGCTTTTGTTTTCCTCCTGTCAGCTATTTGTCACTAAAATTCACTTTTCAGGGAGGAGCCCAGGTCTGCTTTTCATACAGTGCCACATGTTTTGAAATAGTAAAATAATAAAGGTCCACGGTCAGCCAGCTCTGAATTCCCAGTTGAGCAGGGAACGAGATGGCAGTGGGGAACATGCAGTAAATACTAATTTTTAATTAAAGCCCTCCACAGCACAGTCTGGAGATGGGTGAGCAGCAGTGGAGGAGGGTGTTGATGGTGACTCCTCAGGCCAGGGGTGTGAAGAGTTCTGCAGGGGTGGCTTTTTTCCCCTCTGCTGGGAATGATCTACAATGCACTGGCAGGGCAGGAAGGCAGCAGCTCCAGGAGTACGGTGTGTTTTGTAGGAGCCTCGCTAATTACAGCACTGTTCCCCCAGCTCCGTGGCCATGGCTGCCTTGCCCCTTGCTCTGCCTGGCTCCTGTTTTTCTGTTTCGTTCAGTCCAAGCTATTTTGGCTGCAGAAGGTCAATGCCAGCACTGTCAGGGCCAGTGGAAATGCATTTGGGGGACAAAGGGAGATGGAGCATATGCCTGAGGACAAAATAAAAGAAACTCTGCAGAGTGAATTAGTTCCCTTTTTCTTCTCCTCCTGTTAGTGAAAGGATTTCTCTTAGAAACATCTCATTTAGTCTCATTTCTAAATAATGCTTTCTTTGTTGTTGTTGGGGTTTTTTGTTTATGCTGGTTGCAGATTTGCTTTTTTATTTTTCTTTTTTTCCCCATCATCAACAGTATTAGCCACTAAAGTGAAAAAAAGTATGTATGTAGGATCTGGAAGAGAATATTTGAATTTCTGAAAATATACAACTCTTCACTGGGTTTGTTTAGGTTATTTTACCATAAGTTTGGATTATACTACTCCAGCCCTGGATACCTGGAATTGACATTTGTTTATCTTCACAAAGGAGAAACCTCCTTCTATACAAAATATTATCAGTTGCATCCTGGTGTTAGTGGAGGAAGCAGGTAGTGCTGGTAGGACTTGTGACAGGCAGGTAGCCACTGGAGCCTCTTCTGAGTAAATTCTCAGATGAAAAGACCAATCTATTTGGAGGACAGATTTCAGTTAAGTTACAAAATACGTGAATGACACCCATTCACTTTTTGTGGGGGGGAACTCATCTGAATTGAAAGAGGTCTTTGAGGTTTAGAAACTCTCTGAGGTTTCTTAGAAGAGGCAGTGATGGAACCTCATTTCCATACCTGGCTCTCTCTCTGTTTGTGAGGTTGTATGTCTACCTGAAAATGGAAAAGTTTTATGCAAAAAATGTTGAAGCAAATCAATCAAATTAGTGGCTTATGTATTGCAAAAGAGAACCAATTCAGAGGATGTTTGTGTGGCTGGCTTAAATGCCTTTTTAGTTCAATCTAACTGCCTGTGAAATAGACAAATATATACATTTCTGTGTTGTAACAAAATGCAGTCATGGGAGACAAAGCATGGGAGATGTCTGTAAATTGGTGATTAATGTTACATTTATCTTCCTCTGGGTCAGAACTTAAGAACTGGTGGCCAGATGCTTCCACCCATTTGTTCCTGTCATTGCCAGTCTGATGTTCAGTTCCATCTACTCTTCTACATCTTGAGTTCACATTGATTTTGTCTCTCCCTTCCTTTTTCTTTTTCCTGTGGTTCATTCTCTTAGCAGCCTATTTCTCTTTCAGCTGGAGGTCCTCAATTTTTTAACTCCTTTCTGAATTGTGCAGACAAGTTTGCTTTCTTTAGATGATCTCAGCAACCCAGTCTTATCTACTTGTGGAAATTTGTGCCTTCATATTTTTCCCCCAAATATCTGAAGATTCGTAACTGCTAAAAAGGAAAAAAATTATTGAAACAATCACCCTCGCATCCTCCACACTAAACTGCAGGATTCTGTGTTCCAGGGCATGCTTTACTATAATCTCATGGAATATGTTGTCTCTCTCTCTCTCTCTTTGGGTCAAAGAAAACACAGGAACATTCCCATTGTTTTCCATCCCATTTCTCAATTACTATTAAAGCAGCACACCCTTATGCGTAAATCTGACATGAGTCCATGCACACGTCAGGGTGTGAATAACACTAATAAAAGAAAGCTTGTGTCATTCCATTGTGTGTTTGCAGCCTTACCTGTGAACAGAGTAGAGAAAACAACGTTGTAACACAGAAATGGGAAATGTGCTTCCTGGAAAGGCAGCTGAGCTAAAGGAATATTTTTTAATATTGCTGCAGCATAACTCAAAGAGCTTTATCTTTTAATATTTAGATGTCTGTCAAGAAGAGTAAACACAGGGGCTCTTTGGAGTGTTCTCACTGAATAACTTGTGCTGGAATCACTTGATGAATTGGGAAATTATCAGTCTGATAGCATTTTTTCAGTAGCTCAGTAGACAAACAGTGGATTTGATAAATATTTAAAAATAAACCAAGTGAGCATTATGAATTCCTGTCAGTCAAATAACATTGAAATAATTTGACAATCACAGAAATGCACCACATTGGCTGAAAAGAGTGGAGGTTTTAGGCTTGAAGTTGCATGGGGATAAATCTCTGACACAGCAGAGATTGTCTTCGCTGGAGCCACAGCTGCAGGGCAGTGCTCAGACATCCGGGCTTACACCTTCAGCTCCGAGATGAAACTGGAAAAAAGCCACTGACAGTGAACACAGATTTCCCAATACCATGAAAACGAACAGAGTCATTTCTTCCAGGTTTATGGAAAAATAGTTGGCTTCTCTCAACTTAGCCAGGAGTTTGTCTCATTTGGGCTTTAAAAATTCTTAAAAGATCGAAACAACGCCCCATCCATATATTCAGCAAAGACATCTGAAATGCAGCACTGGCTGGGGATGGAGCACACTGCAGCTGCTGCCACCCCTCGCTCTGGAGGCAGGAGCCAGACTTCTGCACCCAAATGAACTGTCCCCACATCAATCCATGATGCAGGTTGGACTCCTTGTTTTGCATGTCTGTTTCTAAAAATATGTTATTTGTCAGGATGTTGTAAGATGGCTCAGAAAGGCTGGACCTTGGTATAGTCCTAAAGACGGTGCACAGAAATAGGGATGGCAGCAGAGCAAGCCTGAGCCAGCTCTTAGCAAGGTCTTGTTCCCATTCTCAGCCATCTCAGTTTACTCTGCTGCTGTGGACTGCACCTCAGGAGGCCTTTATTGCTTCTGGCCACCTCCATCCTTGCAGCAGCTGCAGGTCATCGTGCTTGAAACACAGAATCATGGAACGGTTTGGGTTGGAATGGACTTTTAAAGACCATCCAGTTTCAAGCCCCTGCCATGGGTAGGGACACCTTTCACTAGATCAGGTTGCTCTAAACCCCACCCAGCCTGGCCTTCAAAACTTTCAGGTGCCACTTGTGTGCTGACACTTCCCATTGCCTCATCTTCCTCCTTCACAGCCTTACCACCTTGCAGTGGCTACAGCCAATCTCTGCTTTTAACTCTTTATGTGGATGTCACACTGGCAAGAAGACAGAGGTTACATGTAAACTGCATATACTGCTTCACAATATATATAAATTCTCTATGATTATAGATATAGTATACAATAACACATATGTGATTATATAGTATTTATTTTTATAGACATACAATAGAATCACGTAAGAGACAATTGAAATGTTATTCAGTTCATGTGCTGAAAAACTGTTTATATTAATTAGATAAAATTACAGATAGTGTTTCTAAATTAAGTTATATATATGATCTGTAATTAATGAATAATGTATAATTAGATGTAATGATATACATTAATTGCACAAGTTAAAGGATTGGCTTTAATATAAATACTGTAGTTGAGTGACACAGTTTTCATAAAACGACTGTTAAGTACCCACATAGGATGGAATCAGAGATAGACACTCACTTTCCCCTCTCAGATTTTTAAATACCCTCTGTGGAAGCCATATGTGCCCATTCCAAACTTGGGTCCAGAAACCCAACATCTGCAGAATTTCAGGTATCAAAACGTATTCAGAGCCAACAGCATAAAAATCCCAAGCACAGCGTCTACCTTGACACGAAATGAGGCTGCTCTGTAAACACCAGGGTTTTCCTTCTCTGGCTGGAGTGTTTTTTACCTGCTCTGGAGTGTTGGCAAAGCAGCTGGAGCAATTACAGGACACTCCCAGGGCTGCTTATGTGTTTGTATTTTGCACCCTCTCCCACCTCACCCCCGTTTGACAGAATGCAAACCTGTGGCCAGATGCGTCTGTGAAACACGGAAACCCGGGCTGAAATGTGTTGCTGTGACTTTTTAAAGCTTCAGGGAGGAGGAGTTAAAGGATCAGTGGAATTCCTGGGAGGGGGAGGAATCAGCTGCATTAGAAATTTCTTTCCTTTACATGGGGTGAAATAGAAACAGGTGAGAGGAGGGGCTGGGAATTTTATAAATCCGTTTTTGCTGGCGTTAAGCAGCTTCCCTCAAGTGTAGAATATCAGGACACGGTGAACACAACTCCAAGCACTGGCACTCCCACCTTGCGAGTCACCATAGTGCTTGACTGGGTGGAAGGACTGTCAGCTCAGCATTCAGGGGGCTTTCAGGGAAAGCATCAGACGGCTGACTAAAAGTGACAAGGAAAAAATAACATGGAGAAGACACTGGGGCAGCCTTGAAGCCCGTTTGAACCGCGCTGCTGTGACAGGCGGACAGACTGCATCCTGTGTGTGCATGCTTGCATGAGAATTTATTAGTACATACAACGCTAATTACCCAGTAATGTCCTGAAGCAAGGCTGGGAATGAATTTCAGGAAAAGAGATGTTTGTTTTGCGCGGGCGCCCACATCCCATATACTTTGAGTCCCGCGGAAATTGCCCCGCATCTCCACCCTGCGAGCGCCTGCAGCTGTAGGCAGCGAGCTGCGAGAGGACACGGAGCTCACTAAAACCCCCGTGCCCCCATTCCTCAGCGTCCCCCAGCATGGAAAGCCTGAGCAGCAGCAAGCCCAGGCTCTGTCCCCTGCTCCCGCCTCAGCTGAAGCCGTACAGCTGTTGCCCGAGCAGAGAAAGGGATTGGATTTCACAGGCTGTGTAATCTGCGACAGTGCTCTCTGCCTTGGGGATAGCAACGAGCCTCACCCAGGCTCAGCCATCCCCTTTCTGCCCGTCAGGAACGCCCCGGTCGACATAGAAGGAAAATTGTTTGCTGAATTTCTGCACAGCCCTCCTTCCAATTGCTGGAGAGAGAGGGGGAGTGAGAAAGAGAGAGAGTTTAAGGCAGGCTCTGCACTGGTGTTCTGGGCTATTTCAACTTCAGGGCAACTTTAGAGAACTTCAGTAATTTTTGGTAAGTTTTTTTCTTAAAACCCAAACGTCTCTCTCTCTTTCTTTCTTTCTTTCTATGAAATCTCTGAAGCAGATTGCAAAAGTTTCCAGTAGATGATGGGCTTTAAAAAATGCAGAGATGTGGGCGTAAGCGTTTTGCGTCCTTTGATACAGAAACCGGACTTTACAATTGTAAAGACATAATGTTCCCAGCTGCTGTACTTGATAAGTGAAACCTGGAGATGTTGTGTATTAAATGACGCTGCTGGGGAAAAGTATGCCCAGAGCTTCAGCCAAGGTGCATCTCACCTGGTGTAAACCTTTGCCTCTTTCTTGTGTATGGGAAGAGGTGAGATCAGGGATGAACAAATGTGTTCACCCTGATAAAGTTTCTGACCCACGTTTTTACGCAGCGGGTTTCAAGCCTCTTAGCCTCCCAAAGCTCTCAGAGGGATATTGGTTCTTAGTGTATACACACCCCTCCATTCAGTAATCTCTATTCCACAACATGCATGTTGTTTTCCTTACTTCCTCTGTCTGTATACTTAATCCATCAGGATGATCTCAAAGATAGTGGAAGTCTTTTGTAGTGCAAAGGGCCAATCCCAATTGTTGCAATGAATTGCAGGGTGCAAAGAGCAATTTTCTTACAGTGAGGTTGATTTCTGATGAATATGAGTTTTCTGTTATTTGTTCTTCCCCTAGATATGTTTTGGATTTTTCAGTATCTCTGCTCCTATAAGGGGAACACTATTTGTGTGAATATTATATCTCAATAGATACTATTTGCTATATAATATACTGACTTGGCATTAGGATCTCTGAATGTTTCTGGAATTTGAGACTATGATTAACCTTGAAACATTCAAAAAGCAGATCCTTAATCTTGTCAGTAGAAGTTGGATCCTGGAAGTGCTCACTGCAAGGCAGTTGAGGCTAGTTCATAAAGTGATGGGAAATACACAGGGTAGAATTATTCTGTACACCTGTCTAGGTTCACCCACGTACCCTGATATCTTTCTGAACATGTGAATGCAGATGGTCAGAAGTAGAATTGATGACTGTAACCACCTGCAGAGAAAATGAAAAGTCCGTTCTCTCAAGGCTGCGATAGAAAAGAGAGAAAACATTACTCATATGAGAGAAAAGACCAAAAGTCATTGCTAAAACAAAAATAACCATTATTCTTTATCATTTATGACACAGAAAGCACAGAAGGTTGGAAGATGACTTGTAAGAGACACAGTACTTAGCTTATGATCACCTGTTGCATGTGTGAGGGAAAAGGTCTTAATGTTGCCTCACTCTTTATTTTACTATAATAAAGAAAAACTACAAGAAATTTTGCAGATCTAAGCAAATCAGAAGTAAAATAGCTTACAACAGCCAATTTACTTCCTAAGTCTATCCTTACACAAGTCAAAAATCCAGCATAAAAAAAGTCTCAGATGTTTAACAGTACAGGAAAACCTATAACATCCCAGGATTTATTGGTTTTTATTAGCTATGTTTAAAAATGATAAGTGTGACTGGAACTTTTAATTGCAGAAAGTCTGTAACAATGGAGTTAACAATAACTCTTCAGCAATAAACTGAAAACTATAAATCTGCACCAGGCACTCTGCGGTGCTGACATGCTCCATGATGGCTGTAGCTTTTCTGCTCAAGCGTGTAGATTTGTTAGCTAAAACTGCATTTTACTATCTTTGGTGTGGCACTCTCGTAAAGTAAACTCTACTATTAGATTATGAGGCTTGTGTAAATCTCTGACTGAAGTCAGTTTGACTCTAGTCAGTGCTCATAAGCAATCCATCGGGGATGGCTGCCTTCCAACCTCCTCTGCAGTGGGTGTTAATGTCTTTTCAGTCGGATGGGGCAGCGGTAACTTCTGGCAGTGGCTCGCCAGGGGTTTGGAGATGGCACGTATTCCCTGCTTTTAATTGTCTTGGACGCTCAATCTGTATTCACAAAACTATGAGGTCAACGTGCCTCTATTCGCTTTTGGCTGTACTTGAAGATCATCACTGAAACAAAATCCAGCAGTCTGCAATGCATGGTTATTGGGAATAGCTGCAATCTGAGTTAACCTCCTGTTGACTTGAGGGGGTTCAGTGCCCTGTGCTTGGACACACCTTTCTCCAGGAAGCCACACCATGAACTTCACAGGCAGTTCATTTAACGTGGTCCCTGTGAGTGGAGGGAGCATCAGGCTCTTACTGAGATGTCATGCCCTACATGAAGCCACAGGAGTGTGTATTTGAAGGTTTGAACCTCCAGATGTACTCAGATCTTTGGGCTGTTTTTATTCTTCAAGTTTTCTACTTGGGAAAAGAAGTAAGTTCATCCTATGCAAGTGCAGAACACTAAGAGATTACAGTAAGGCTTTTTCCAGGATTCCTCACATTCAGAGACCTAAAGAATCAGAATATATTCTGTATATATATAGTGTATTTGAAAGATGTGGAAACTTATAATCTGAGTAAATATTTAAGTAAATAGTCAATCTATTTTTTTATATCTAGCTATTTTTGTGTTCCATAATGTTGCTTACATTTGGAAACAGCAAAATATGCCCTGGAAAAAAAAAAACCAACAAAACAGGATTTCCTCCTCTGGGGAAACATCTCACTGTGTTTGTGGGCTCTGTATTGCAGGTACAATCTGAAGCAGTAAGGCTGAGAAAAGCCTCACCATTAACCTTGTTCAGAGCGAGGAGGGGACCTGGCCCTGTGCACCGGCACAGGCAGACCCAGCAAGGGCAAGCACTTGCTCTCAGGCAGTTTGCCACGTCCCTGACGCCCCGTGCACCAACAAACTGTTTTCCTGACAGCCCCAGCTAACAACTGCTGCCTTGTCTGCTTCCCTTATGTGTAACTTCCAGTCTGCCCAGCAGGCTTTTCCCTCCACAGCCAAGTGGTGGAGCAGTGCTGAGTGATGTAGGGGATTCAGCTCCCACTGGAGCTAAGATTAAACTTGACCAGAACTAGTTTGCCTTCTCTCCACATGGTGCAGGAATCGAGGCAATGTCCTTGTGGCAGAGGACATTTGGATGACCCACAGCTGTGCCTAACCCCAGTATGGGAGGGTTATGCTCCAAGGCAAATTTGCTAAATCCACGTGTTTGCTCTGGATTTCAGAGTCGAGGCTGGAATTCATTATTTCAAATAAAAACAAAACCTCAGGCTAGGAGAGGACCTTTCACATACTAAATACTTCCTACCAACATGTTTAATTCCTGAAAGGGGACTATAGGTAGCCAAATATCTGAAAGTAACTGCTGACTTATTGCAGAGAATAAGGCTGCAGTTTTCTGTCAGAGAAGGGAATGACCAAATGTGTAGTCCAGAGGGACTGAAACAAGTCAAAATATGTTAAGGGTGCTATGGCATGTAAGTAATAAATAGGCCAGGATAATTGGTAGAGGACCCATCAGTAAGGGACGGCAGCTCTGCAAGGGAGAGTCCCAGGCCACAGTAACAGCCCAAATCCCAGCAAAATTCCATGGGCCAGGAATGCAAGTGCCTGAAGAAGAGCAGGCACCAAGTCCACTTCATCTGCCTAATAAAGATAGCAGTGTCTTCAGGGGGCAGAATTATCTGTTTTTCAGAAACACAAACAAGGAGATAAGGTTTATATGATTTCCAAGCTCGCTGATAAATGCTGGAGACTCCAAAGCCACAGTAACTGCTCTTCACTGCTGGGCAAATGTTGTTTCTTCTCTGTAGTTAAGAGAACAAACACTACTTGATTTTGATAGCAGTGGTCTGTGCCTCACTTTCATAGAGTCAGAGGAGCAGCTCTTATCCATGCAGCCCTCTGATTTTAAATACCTTTTACCTGCCCACTGACCTCCCAGCTCTCTCCCCTTGAACAGTGGTGTGTTTGCAGCCTCAGCCAGCCAGCACTGAAAAACAAAGGTTTCGAGGGGCACATATTTCTTCCCATTTCCGCAAGTCCTAGCTAAATAAACTAATAAACTGTTACAGATATAAAATATTCCAGCCTAAAGTGCATCCTGAAAGCTCACATATTTTATTAGTCCAGTCATTCCCACTCTTCCTAGGATTCCCATACTCCATACCAGCCATACGGGGCAAATGCCATCAGGTTTCCACAGGTCCTGTCTTCATTTACTTACTGTGTGGTTTGCTCCAGCTCCTGGACCTTTGACTGTCAGCCAGGCACAGTGCTCTACTTTTCCCTCAAGTAAACACATGCAAGAGCTTTTCTTTCCCTTGCCTCACACCACTCTTTTTAATCCAAAGAATTTGCCTTAGCACTATTACTTGGAGGAGCAAATTCCAAAATGGGAATTTTAGCCATAGAAACTCCAGGACATAGAAGAAACTCGAAGGGCATGCATGCAGGAACAAAAATTATTAAAGTTAGCAAATGGGATAGTAACTTTTCCACACAGCAGGAATGGCTTTAACTGATGCTTGCATTGTATTCTGAAGGGGAGAAATGGCTCAGTGGGACTAGGCATCGTTATCTTGAAAATTAGTTAGAGATCAGCTTTTGGTGAACCTCAAAGAAGTTAGCAGCTCTCCCTCAGATCAAAAGATCAGATAAGCATACAAAAGATTGGGTTTTTTGGTTTTTTTTTTTAATTTGCTTGAAAACTGAGCATGGTGGTATTAGGCCAAAGGTTGGACTTCATGATCTTGGAGGTCTTTTCTACATTTAAAGATTCTGTGATTCTGTGTGTGTGAGCTTGTTGGAAGGTCTATAAGATGAAGCTCTGTGAAACTATCATGAGAAAGTTGGTGGTTTCAATTGCTGATGTTTCCTGATATTAGCTGAGCTTCCCCTATTCCTGCTTCTAAAACCAGCTGAAAGCAAATAATTTACAAGAACACAAAAATGTCATTAAACATTCCCCAAATATTTTCATATATGTCAGAGCTGATCTGATTTATGCTTCGGTGAAAGGTTGCATTGATTTTTATATGAACTGTGTCCTCACACTCCTTAAGGCTGACTTTTTCACATAATGGGCTTGATTATGATAAAAAAATTGTT